GCCTAAAAAGAATCTAATGTTTCCCAATTATGGGTTTGAATGAATTTTAAAATCTGATGATGGCGCTGTTGTCTCGCCGAAACGTAACGAAATAAACGATATACGAAAAACATTTGCTTCACACTGTGACTGGAGTCTCTAATGATTGCATAAATCAAAATAAAGATAGATTTTTTTTCAAAATTTGTCACGCTCAAAACTGGGATATTCTCAGCGGTGAAGGTATCAAGCTGGAACGTGGCAACAGCCAGGCCATCGTGCTTCTCTCACAGACTCATATGGGGGCGAGCGAGAAAACCGATGCGAGCCGCGTTCTCGACTGACATTTTTTTATTTCACACTGTGACTGGAGCTCAGTGCCTTTTTCTCTACGCAATTTTTGCTCCAATAATGGGCAGATTTGCGATTTCTTGGCCAATTAGATCAATGAGCTGCTTACCAGTGAAAGATATTTCCTTGCTCGGATGGATGATCTGGTCTTTGAGTGGCAGGAACACGAACGGAATCTGTTGGGACGTGGAGCCGCCCACGAAAGGCGCTAAAATACATTCTGAAACAAAAATTATTGATATTTCACCATCTGCTTTAATGGATTTTGAATTGCGCGTAATTAGACAGAATTATCGTAATGCGTGTCGCAGCAAGCGGCGGGTTTCCTCATTGCGATTAAATTCAATTAAGAATTTCCGCAATCATATAAAATGCATTCGGTCTTCCACTGTCAGTTAAACTTTAGTTGGTTAAAACCGCTGGAATTGAGCACATTTTTCCATGTCCAGAAGCGCTTGGAAGCGGATTTGCGGCTGAAAATCTGCCGGGGCGAATCGGCGAAAGGAACCAGATGCTGAAGAATCCGCAAAATCCGAAAGTTGCCGCTGAATCAGTTTTTTCCTCAACAGTTGTACAACCTTGCCGTGTAATTGGCCATTCATACTCATTACCAATAACAATTAGAATCCGAGTCAATGTACTATAATAATAACTTGGATTGGATCGAAGAAATCGTCGTTTTTACTTTCGCAAGTAAATGTACTTTTCTGCTTCTCTGCTCGGCCCCATATAAGTGCACGATGGGGCAATCAAGTTTTTTTTTTTTCAATCAAGACTTACCATCTTTGGCCCCATTTGCCAACGGTTTCAACCAAAATGGGTTTACTCGGAACTGGGAAAATTGCTGACCTATCGGGAATTAATCAACGGATTTTGCAAAAAAAAAGTTTAACAAAGTGCGGTGATTCAGCGATTATCCGGACATCGAGTGGAAAATGGGACTTAAGTTGTTTGGCTGACTGTCAATTTAGCAGAGCAGCGCTCTTAACGAGTGATGTATAGGAAATGTCTTCATTGTTTTCGGAATTATCGTTGTAAAACAACGGGATTGTGTGCGATTTTATTGTCAGCCAAAGACGAAGAAAACGACAGCTCCGGGCATTCAAAGTGGGTTTTTTTTGTGCCAAAAGCTTTCAAATTATTAGCGCTTGTTGTACAATTGAAAATGTATGCGAATAGGTGTGTTGGAACAGCAGGAACAAGAAGTGTTCATGTCGACAAGCTTGAGAGTGTGTTTTTGCACTGTCCTCATTTCAGAGATCAGAGATTCAAGACAGCAGGATGCAGGCTTCCACACTCGATAAAAGAAGCTGCACTTAAGATTCACGCTGAATTTCGTTGACTTTGCCCGAGTGGTTTATTTTTTATTCATTGAGGAAGTTGACTAACATTTGTTCGATTTGGCTTTCCTTGTTCTCTCTTCTTTTATTCCTCTTTTCTGATTGTTAAGGCCAGATATCGCAAACGCGGCTTCAGCACGCAACAAAACAAACTTCAGCAAATATTTGTTGTAAGTTTGGATTCTATCGACCAAGTGATTTGTTTTTAAATTCATTCAGGGACCTTCCTAGAATTGCCCAGTTTTGTCGCGATAACACTTTCTTCTTCTAGTGCCCAGTTCTCAACATCCAAGTCAGATATTGGGATGGCTGCTTTAAAAGTGGATAAACGAAGTTTCCTTTAAGACTCTGTTTGAGTTTAGTTTCCATTGATCGAGTGGTTTAATTTTTACGAGTTGAAAAAGTTTCCTTAAATGTGCGCCATTTGACCTTTCTTGCAGGGTTTCTCCTAATTGATTATTCCTCAACGGTAGAGCTAGGAATCGGGACCGGAGTGATACTGTTCGATAGAAAAAACTTTAGTTAAGTTTCAGTGTGAATTTGGTTCTTTTTCACTCATTGGTGAATTTTTAATTGATTCTGGAAAATTTCAAAATTTTGCTCGATTCGGCCGTTTTTGCACAGTCGTTCTTTATGGTTCATTTCTCAACACGCCGGTCAAATATTAGGATGGATACTCCAATAATGGATAAAAGAAGTTCCATTGAAGATTCTGTATGAGTTTCCGTTCCATTGATCAGGTGGTTTAATTTTTACGAGTTAACAAAGTTTCATAAAATGTGCGCCATTTGACCTTTCTTGAAGCGTCTCTCCTAATTGATTATTCCTCAATGGTGGAGCTAGAAATTGGGACCAGAGCGATGCTATTCGATAGAAGAAAGTTTAGTTAAGCTTGGATGTGAAATTGTTTTTTTTTTTCACTCATTGGTGAATATTTAATTGATTGTGGAAAATTTCAAAATTTTGCTCGATTAGGCAGTTTTTGCACAGTTGTTCTATATTGTTAATTTATCAAAACACAGGTCAAATATCAGCATGGCTGCTTCAATAGTGGATAAATAAAGTTCCATTGAAGATTATGTATGAGTTTCCGTTCCATTGATCAAGTGGTTTCAGTTTTACGAGTTGAAAAAGTTAATTAAAATGTGCGCCATTTGACCTTTCTTGCAACGTATCTCCTAATTGATTATTCCTCAACGGTAGAGCTAGGAAACTGGACCGGAGGGAGGCTATTCGATAGAAGAAACTTTGGTTAAGTTTCGGTGTGAATTTGGTTCTTTTTCACTCATTGGTGAATTTTTAATTGATTATGGAAAATTTCAAAATTTTGCTCGATTCGGCAGTTTTTGCACAGTCGTTCTTTATGGTTCATTTCTCAACACGCGGGTCAAATATCAGGATGGATACTCTAATAATGGATAAAAGAAGTTCCATTGAAGATTCTGTATGAGTTTCCGTTCCATTGATCAGGTGGTTTAATTTTTACGAGTTAACAAAGTTTCCTAAAATGTGCGCCATTTGACCTTTCTTGCAGCGTCTCTCCTAATTGATTATTCCTCAATGGTAGAACTAGAAGTCGGGACCCGAGCGATACTATTCAATAGAAGAAACTTTAGTTAAGTTTCGACGTGAATTTGGTTCTTTTTCACTGACTGGTGAATTTTTAATTGATTCTGGAAAATTTCAAAATTTTGCTCGATTTGGCAGTTTTTGCACAGTCGTTCTTTATGGTTCATTTCTCAACACTCGGGTCAGGTATCAGGATCAGTGCTTCAATAGTGGATAAAAGAAGTTCCATTGAAGATTCTGTATGAGTTTCCGTTCCATCGATCAAGTGGTTTAATTTTGACAAGTTGAAAAAGTTTCTTAAAATGTACGCGATTTGACCGTTCTTGCACCGTCTCTCCTAATTGCTTCTTTCTAACTACCAAAGCCAGAAAGCGGGACAAGAGCAGCAATATTCGATAAAAGAGGCTTCACTTAAGATTCTGTATAAATTTGGTTCCATTTCACCCAGTGATTTTTTTCAGTTAATTCTGGAACTTTTCAAAATTTTGCTCGATTTGTCGTTTCTGCACATTCGCTCTTTATTGCTCATACCTCGACATTTAGACCAGATTTCGTAATAATAACCTCAACAATCCGTAAAACAACCTTAACCTAGCGTAGTTTAGTTAAGATTTATACGATAGATAGATATTATATACGATAAGATACTTATAAATTTTACGAAGTTTCGGGCGATTCTCTGTTGGTTACTTCCAAGTTCCATTCACACAATTTACAGTTTGTTTGCAAAATAAACCATAAAATGAGTCGAAAGCTAGTTACTCTTTGATAAATTCCGACTTGTCGCTCACGTTTTCAACAAATATGCAAAACTCACTTGCCATCGAAATCGCATAACTGCAGTGAAGCCAATCCATCGCGATCGATCTGGGAATATGCTTTTGTAACTGTACTCGGCAAACAGCTGCAGTTTCCGATAATTTAGTTAGCTGCCTTTCATCCGATACCAAAAATCGGATAATAAAAAGTAGTTGATTGTCGTATGTAAAACCCCAATTTACTCTTCACGCATTTTTTATCGTTCCAGTCCAACTCAATTACCAACCGGATTAAGTTATTAGCGAGATAAGAGCGACACGGATGAGAAAAGTTCAAATTTAAATTTGTAATAATAATTTAAATTGCTGTTAAAAATTACCTGTAACGGTGCTACAAGACGCACATATACGAGAGGAAATGTTAACGTTTGATCACATAGAGCGAAAGGTTTATTAAGATGTCTTTAAGAACTGGTGCTTGAAACGAATTTTTCGGATAAGAGCGTTTAACATTCCAGTAGACAGCAGTGGCATTATTATCAATAAACTAATGGCAAAATCGCTTCGGCTCCGTCCACGCAATGGCACATCTAGACAATATCGTCAATTAAATCAACGTATATTGTTTGCGATAAATCGCACAAAATCCCGTTTTACTACGGCGCTCGTGAGTAAGACCAGTAATAACGAATAAATCAGCAATTTTTCAATAGAAAGATAAAAGCAGTTGGACAAGAGAATCCAAACGCCACAAACGGTTGTTTTTATTTATGTCGTAAAACAACCGGACTGCTTGGAGCTTCGATTTCCATCTTCTGCATTTATGGAAATGGCAATATCTTGCCTGCATCTATTCGGCATTTGTTCGTCATTTCGCACATGTTTTGATTGCATTATTTCATTAAAACCGTCTTAGGCGAATATCTAGATGCAGCCGCAAATAGTTTTATGCATTTAACAACGCAATAAAACGACAAAATCATAAATCGCCTCAAAGCTGATTATACTTTAATGAAGACTCGTCATCCCTGATTATTGAAGCAAGTACCCGTAAAAACGGCATGTGGCCGGATTTTAATTGACGTTTATTCTGTATAATATTCTGCAAGTTTACGATTACACTGGCAGTAGTTTATTTTGCGCAAGGTGCCATATTAATGGCAAATGGTGTGAGTGGCAATTCTCTAAACTTCCTATACGCAGCGAGTTTAATTTGTGCAGTTTAAAAGCGCACAAATCAAACCATCTGCCTCAAAGAAACCAAACTCATAGCGAGTTTTAAGTTAAGTTGTTTTTATCGTTGGTTTGCGTGAGTTTTACGAGATCTGACCTGGATGTTGCGGTTGAGAGATGCGGGAAGGTCTAACTTTGCAAATTGAGCAAAAATAAACTGCTCGGCCGAAGAGAACTAAGTTCACACCGAGTCTTAAGTGAAACTTCATCCATTAATTATTATTGTAGTCGGCCTTTTGATTCCTGGCTTGGGTGTGGAGGATGACCATTAAGTGAAGACAGTGCAAAACTGCACAAGTGGCTTAAATCTTCAGAAGATA